ATGAACATCCCCAGAGAAATTGATGGAGCTACTAGAGAGTGAAGAGCAAGATGATTGCGCCACACTGAGACCTGTTGTATTGGAATTGTATCAGAAGTGGACCAGTTGCAGTGATGTATTTCCCGAGGTATTAGATGAGAAAAATGGACAATGTTGCCCATTTTTCTTAATACAAATTTAGCAATTACAGAATCCACCCAAAAATTACAACCCCCCCCCCCCCCACAAACTGTAATGACACTCCGTCTTAAAAAAACCCAAACATTAATTGATTTTTATTTCTACTTGAAAAAAACGGGGCATCTGGAGAAATGCACCGTTGACGAATCCACGTATACTTTCAATATGCGGGAACTTCAGTGCTGTTAGTTTTGGGCGCATACTTTATTTTATTTTAGCATATTTTATTTCGTCATTGGCTCCAAGTGTTTTCTTTACATTGGTCTACTTCGTAAATAAATTTAATTTTTTTTTTTCTAGACACATAAGCTGTTATATTTAGTGATCAAATATTAACAACGTCAAACAAGAAACATAACTACACAGCTAGTTCTTAAATGACAACTCACAAAAAAAACAACAAAAAAAACAACAACAACAAAAAGCAAACAACCAAAAAAACCTCAAGACTTTTCTGAGTACAATAGATACGAGTTCATTCTCAAGGGAAATACAAGGGAAGAACTGTTACTATCAAATTCATTGATAATATATCATAAACAGAAGAAAAAAAAATCGCCAATTTCGCAAGGAAGCTCTATGGATTCTTTTGGTAGTCAATCTTTATTTAGCTAACGCAAGGATTTTCGGAACACGTTCAATCATTTCAAATGATCTATTGATGTTGTGAATGTCTGATTGGTTTTCTCTTTGGGTAAAAAAATATTCGCACCATATAAAGATGAATCCCTATTTGTATCATTCATAAGCTGCTTCATCAAAACGTTGCATTAACATATAAACACATACTTTGTGAAAATGACATTTACTAGCAAGTTTTAGAGTAAAATAATTGTTTTCCTTTAATCGTGCTCTATTTGTTTATAACTACAGGAGCTTTCGAAGCTTTTAGCGGTAAAATATTTTACAGCTTGTATCAAGTCGAGTTTATCAGAACCAGGAAAGGTAAATAAGGATAATAATGGTCTTATTCGTATATAACAAAAATATATATTTTTTTTATTTTTTAAATTTTGCTTTCAAATAATGCAGAAAACTAACTTTAGGTATTACTTTGAGAGAAGAAAAAAAATGTTCTATAATATAGCAGATATTATGACATAGCGATGGTAAGTTCAGGACAGTTAATGTTTGAAAACTAAAGGAGTGTGTGGCATTGTTGCCACCCGGTACCGTGATGATGTTAAGCGAAAGTCGTATTTTCCCTTTTAAAGAAAGGAACTCGATTTCCTTTTCAATAAATAGACTCACTGGCTTGTTATCATTTATACATAAAACAATTTCTTCTTCTTATATATATTAAGGGCCAAAGATCAATGTATTGATCGTTCTGGCTCCCATCTAGGGCAGAGGGGATTTGTATTACTTCTATTCCTGGAATTTTGTTGTCATGACCATTTGACCTGGTTGTGTTTAAATATGCTTGTACCTGGGGCCCGTGCCTGTCGTTTCGCCACTCCCCCGACCCCCCCCCCCCCCCCCCGGCCCCCCCCCCCACTCCTCCGTTATGTGTTCTTCAGCTGTATAAGTTATTGTGCGTTGTTTTCCTTACTTCCAATCTCTAAACCACTCAATAAATCTCGGCATAGTTTTTTTTTTCTTCACTTTAATACTATACAAATGTGTTTTGCTCTTATACATTAAAATTGGGTACATAGCCTCCTTTAAGAAACTATATGAAAATAGAGCATGTGTCATTTATTTATTTTTTCTTTTTATTTTTTAAAGCACTCTCAAGAAAATGTCAGATGCTACATCATCATTCTTCACAATATTGCTATGAATAAAACGAACTCAAACCCATTTGTATTTGCCAAGACGATCAAGGTAAAGAAGTAAACTTGAATTTCACAACCTTTTTAACTGAAGTGGTTGCTGTCCTTTCAAAATAATGCAAATTAGTAAAAAAAAAATATTATGTTAATTAGTTTTCGATCATCTGATATTACGGGATGAGCTCAAAATTTTTTTTGATGATATCTAGAATTGTAACGTTATCACAGACACCAAAGCAAAACAGTATCCTTCTTTTAAAGAGCACACTCTCTCTCTCTGATGGATTATGAACTTAGTGTTTTATATATATAATATATATATCTATATATCTATATATATCTATATATCTATCTATATCTATCTATCTATCTATATCTATCTATCTATCTATCTATCTATCTATCTATCTATCTATCTATCTATCTATCTATCTATCTATCTATCTATCTATCTATCTATCTATCTATCTATCTATCTATCTATCTATCGATCTATCGATCTATCTATC